CACTACCACTACCCACCACCAGTACCACTATTCACCATCAGTACATCATTCCTCTACCCACCATTACTATCACTACCACTACCACTACCACTACCAATACCACTACCCACCACCAGTACCACTATTCACCATCAGTACATCATTCCTCTACCCACCATTACTATCACTACCACTACCACTACCACCACCATTACCAATACCACTACCATCACGTTCACTAGGAGGCATCATTAGCAAATTTGATAGCCTTCACATACAGGTAGCTCAGGAAAGAGATACGCCCTCTATTGAAGCCATCTAATACTCACCTTGTTATGACCTGCGAATCATCTCTGTGCGCTTCAAAATCYGCAACCTTTGGTCGATACTCTGATCGATAAGTCCCCGGACGTGGTTCGGGTTCACGTCGTATTTCAGGCTGAGGTCTAGAGGAGAGCTTGAAATCATAATTCGTCGGCTGCGCAGGTCGCGGTGGAGGTTCTGAAGAACGATCACTACCGTAGGGCCTGGGGGCATATGCCTGTGAGGAGTACCCATAGGCTGATTTTGGTCTTTCAGGTTTGGTTTCCTTCCTTGGGATTGTAACTTCGGCGCGGTAGATTTCTTTTCGTTCCGGTTCAGCGGCGCCTCTTCCGTAGTCACGTGGTAGACTGCGATAACCGTTCTCCACAACAGGCGCACTCTCGACACGGTCAATGACGTGCGCGCGCACCTCAGGCTCGGATTTACTCTCGACATGAGTGACTGTAGCGTATGAGCGCGCCGGGTAGTACGAAGTACGTACGACAGATTCCGGGCGGTCCTTCGAGCGGTAGTCGACGACCACATTACGAGGCTTGGGCTCAAATCTGTAAGGAGCTGGGATGACTTTTTTTGGTTCTTCTTTTGGCTGGGGAGGAGGAATGGCACGTTCGAGTTCCTCTAGCTTTCGTTCGAGGTCATCGGGTTTGCTTTCGACTTTGCTGACCTCTTGAGGTTGGATACGCTCACGCTGCACCTCGTTGTCGATGGCCCACAGATCAGATACTTTTACTCCGACTCTCTCGTCATACCTGTGACAGAAAAAGAAGATGTTACGCTTATAATACCACATCTACATAAAATACTTGTTTCTGATTAGTTGAGTGGCCGTGATGTTTTCTTAATCCGTGCAATTATCGTGCAATCACAGATTGCGCGAGAATTTACTCTCCATCCAATCAAATACCCGTAACACGGCCTGAACACCGTCACGCAAAGGTCACGCCAATCACATAATCTCAGTTTTACGAATTTTCTCGATTCTGATTGGCCAACCTTGTCTCTCAGATCAGTTGGTTCTACAGCCAGGGCTTAAGTCACTTACTTCTTCAAAAGGTCAGACTCCGGCTCCACCTTACGCAGGGATTCAGCTTTGTACCTAAGCTCCAGTTCTGTGGGGTTCACAGCGTCTTGAGGGCGCGACTCGGGCTCAGCCCTTCTCAGGCTGTCACGTGGTCTCAGCTCCTCGCCATCTTGACTGTCTGGTGGGTTGTTGGTGAAATCGTCTGAGAGAGGACGGGTTTTTCTGAGTGACGCGCGCAGTTCTACAGGTTCTTGTGAAGATGGAAGAACTCTGACAAAATAACCATTAACATGAATTTATTTACAGAGAAATAAAGAAACTAGAACCGATTTATTTTCTCCATTTCGATAGGCCCTTCTTAGAATTATCTTGGATGCAGGGCTAACATGGAAATACAAAAGAAATGCTACAAAATCCATCGAGAACAGTGTTATTTCTTTTGTGTTTTCAAGTTAGCCTTGCATCCACGACACATTTAAGACTCAAAAGGTAGTAGCGTGTTTGTCAAATACTCACTTGACTATATTCCCATGTGGCTTGTAGCCAGGTTTACTTGGACGGTCGATGTCGCTGTCATACCGCTGGTCATCATCGTATGGCCTACGATCTCGGTCGTCGTCATAGCGATCAGGCCTGTCGTCATAGCGACCACGCTCGTCGTCATAGCGACTGCGGTCACGATCACGGTCGTCGTCATAGCGACTGCGGTTACGATCATCGTCATAGCGACTACGGTCACGATCACGGTCGTCGTCATAGCGACTACGGTCACGATCGTCGTCATAGCGACCACGATCATCCCGGTATTCCACTTCCGGTCCATTGTAGTGTCTTGGGGTACTTTCTACTCCTAGTTCTGCACTTGGACGGATTTCTTCTTCTGGTGGGTGGGACACACTTGATCGGGCTGTAGGCGAGTCGGCATGGGAATCATACTCGTATCCCGTCGAGTAGCGGTTGTGGACGCGGAATTCAACGTCGTGTTCGTCGTGTTCAAACTATAAATGCAAACACGTAGAAAATTTATAAAGCACAGAGTTACATTTTCAAAAAAAAAAATCAAGTCTTGGCGTTTCCCATATTGTTCCAACTACCAGCAAATTAAATTGCTTTTTAGATGTGCTTCTTATTGAAAAGTGCAAAGTTATATAAAAAGACATCCTGCCAGCTGTGCAGTACAAGCAAGGGGGTCCATTCCTGTGGTCAGACTAACCTTATCTTCCGACATCCAAACTCGTCTGTCTTGTTGTTTCTTGATCTCATCCTTGACGCGGCCATACCAATCATCACTAGGTCCCGCGGGAATTGTAGCTACAGGAATAAAATAACAATGTATTCAGTTACCATGACAACACAAAGGTTACTATGGCAACATCAGCAGAGATGGCAAACCTGCCATAATACTCCCAGTTTGAGTTTGCCCAGTTCTGCTCAGTCTTAGCCTCGATTGTGTACAAATGTGTTATTATCTTTTATTAAGGTCCATTGTATAGTTAACAAATAGACATCAGTTTTTTACGTGCCTGTCCTCTTATTGACGATAAATTGCGTCGTCACATTGCCAAAGTAGTGTGGATCTACGAGATGCCTATTTGTTTTTTACAATAACAAAAACGATAAAAACTTCTCATTTTTAGCGATCAAAACAACCAACGGAAAGAGCGCGCGCTCGTTGACGTCAGCTTTATCTGTCTGTCTTCTTATTGATGATAAAAAATAACCAATCAATCAGCGCGCGAGAAATTTGTAAGTTATTGTAAAATAAGGAATGTACGTACTATGGAACAAGACAAGTTCATTAAGATTCCACGGGTTTTGGTTGAAAAGCAGAATATTTTAACGCACAACTGAGACTAAGGCTGAGCAAAAGAGAACTCGAAACTGGAGTTTTCGATCACATGATGGCGGCCATGTTAGATGCCAGGAACAATACAACCGTTTTACGTGAGAAAGGATTGAATATTCCCAAGAGCAAAGGGAATTTACTATTATGCCATTTAACTACAGGAGGCCCAAGAAATATTATGTGCGCCGACACGTGATGGTGCAGAGCCTCTAAACATTACAAACAGTGTTTACCTGAGATCATGTTGAAGTAGAACTGCTCAAGTTTGACTGAATTATCATACAGTTTGTTGATGTGTTTGGCCGATTCTTTTCCTGACCCGTGTTGAGCTCTCATCTCCCTGAAAAAACAGATGAATGAATGATTTATATTAATGGTTTTCAACCATTCCCAAGAGAATTAAATAACAAAAGACACGGCGGGCATGTTGGATGATATAACAGGAGAATTCACTGACAATTCTTTTGTCAAGTTCCTCCAAAATGGCCGCCGTGAAAACCATCAATAGGGCCCTTGCTATATAGATGTAATCAAAGGCGCTTTACACTGAGTTGTGAATATCAGATCGCTCTTTTAGTCAAATTACGATCATGAGAGATAGATAGTTTGAAGTCGGAAATCTAACCATTTGTAGATGTCATTGCGAAGGCAGCACTTTCTCATCAGTTATTTCAAGACCCTTGAGTGTTCGACCGGTCAGAAAAATGGAAAGACGGGCAAGAAGGACAAGATTTAGAAAGTTACAGCGCAACCTCCAAAAGTATGACCACATTTAATGTGATACAAGCTGCATTTTAAAATTTGAGGGGAGTCAAAGTGAATCGATTATGAAAGTGCGGGCTTCCTGTGGTGTGACGTCACTTACTTGACTACATTCTTGTTTGTTGGCTTGAGGAAGAGTACAATGGGATAAAGCTGAGAATAGTTGAGTCTTTCCACCTCATCTGGTGCTATATCCAGCAGACAATGCTTGCTCTAAGAGGAAAGAGCATACAAAACAGTTACTAAAGAAAACCTGAAAAAAATACTTGAAAACTAGAATTGGGGTTGCTGTGGTGATGTTAAGTGAGCGACCCTAGTCCACTCTCGCTCGCCATTACTACTCTTCCCAGTAGACCGAGGTAGTTGTGATTTTTCAATCGCCTTCGTAGCGTCTGTTATGTTATCCGCAAGTACATTTCAAATCGACCACGTGATGCCAATGTTGTACCACGAGGACAAGTTTTTTACACCACGTGATTAAAACTTGACTGAATTACCTCGGTCTACTGGGAAGGGTAGTACCATAGGCATGCAAGAAATAGATGTCAAGGTACTAGAATTATGTTCTTACGCTATCAATGACAGTCTTGATGGTAGAATAACTGAGGGTTCTTCGAGAAGACTTGGTAGGACTGTCGTGACCAGCTGGAGTAATTCCTCCATATGCAGCTGAAACAATATTTATTAGAGTTAGTAATGTTTTTACTTATGGAGTACCTCAGGCTCAGTATTGGGCCCACTGTAATTTTCTGTTCCGCCTTATCAGAATATTTTCTAAAGCTTGCATATCTCTTTAGACTGTGTTAGATTAAACCTGCATTACAAACCCGGGTCACATCGGTGAGAGGCAGCCCAATAGCAGCATACACCACCCATGCTCCCCACTTCTCAATTGCGTTACATTCGTATTGTGTTACATTTAGTTTCGTAACTTTCATAACTCAGTTTTTTCAGATAGAGAAAATGAAGCCTTTTTACCAGAAACTATTAATGCTATCTGAGAAAATACTTCACGAAAACTATTTCCAGAAAATTTTGTAGAATTTGACTGCATACCAAAGAAGTTATGAAAGAACGAAAATAGAGAGTTTTGTATGTATTTATCGCTGGAAGCCTTGGTGGCCTCGTTTTGGTGCATTTTCAAAACTTCAAATGCTCACATCTTGTAAAGGATTTATTAATTTAAGTAGAAACTCACACGCCTTATCTAAATCAACAAGATCAATGATTTAAAAGGGTTTTCACTCCAAAAACATTGATTTTTAATGTTTATGCAAATTAGCAGCAGCCAGTTATAAAAGTCGTGTATTGGTGCCTTTTTATATGACATTTATTGACTGCGTTACATTTAGATTCTGTTACGTTAAAATTGCGTTACGTTAAAATTGAGTTACATTAAAATTACATTACGTTAAAATTGCGTTACTTACTTGGAATGGCAAAGTACTGAGGCAGGTCCTGTAGGAGCTTGTCTCTAGTGATGTCAGCAATAGGACCCAGAAGAACCACAGGTCTAACGAACCCAGGATGTCTTAGCGAGACACGTTCATAGGCTGGTAGTTTGAACTCTCTTGCAGTGTTTACTGTGAAAAAGATATCCAAGTTAACTTGACCATGTGTTTTTTTTTGAAAACTTAATATACCTTTTAACTGATACGGTGGCCATCTTGAATTTTCTATTGTTTTCAGTAAGAGATTATGGGGTGCCGAGAAAGCAAACATTGGAAAGTTTAAACTCTTTGCTTTTACTTGGACAAAAGGTTTAAGTTCTGAAATGTCAGTGTCTTTCTTTTTTTCTTGTTACTTCCACTTGTTTAACACATACTCCTCTTTTACTCCGACGAAGGACTGGCGTCCGAAACGTCAGTAAGTTTTTTCATCTTTTCGATATTTTACCTTTTTATCATTACTGTAACACATACTACATTTATTTCAAAAAACGTCACCCGTCCGAGATCTGAAGTGGTCGATTGGAGAGTTAACAGATTTTTTTGTGCTTTTATTATTTTGTGTGGCTAAAATATGAAAAATCATATTTCTGACTCAAAGGTCACACTTTGCATTGTAATCTTAAAAGAAACTACAGGTACGTTGTTCGGCTACTCAGCCTAAGATTTCAGATCTCCGGCCGATAACGTTTTATTAAGATATACTGGTTAAATTTCGTTAAATTGTCCTTCGGGATCATACAAATTTTCGTCAGGAGCCAAAAATATGTATCGCAGAAGTACTTACTGAATGACTCTTTATCTAGTCTGTCAGTAGACACGAACAAGTAGTTTTTTTTCAATGTCCCTCCGCGAGAATCTTTTCTCTTGAGTGAGTTGGTACGGCTTGCTTTCTTGGAAGACGTTTTATCTTCTTCAACTTGACGGACTTGTCCGAGCTGTTCAGCTCTGAAGGAAAGAAATTGTATGAGTGTGAAAGAGAAAAATCATGGTGTTATTTGCGCTGGAGCCATTAAAGAAAGTGAAGGTCAAAGGAATACTCTAGTTTAAAATTCTCTCAGTGTTAGCCTTACTTTTGTGTATAATATTCTTGTGTTCCAGTGAAGGTCCGTGGAATTTCAAAGTGTTTCTAATGTGTAACGTTGTACTTTCTTTAGTTTACCGTCGTTATTTGTGAAATATTTTGACAGTGAAATAAGGCTAACCCTGTGTAAATGAGTCTGTGATCAAGGAACACAGCGGTAATTTAGGAACTAGAAAAAGGTTCATTACCTGCACTTGTTAGGGATGATACCTGTCTCGGTTTCTTCATTGTTCAATGTTACTCTCTGCGCATGCCAAGAACCAATCATACCACCATACATCGTATCCCACACGTGAAAAACATCCTCCCTGTTGATATCAAGCTCATCTTCTTTCATCTTGGCATAGTCGAAATGGGCCCTAAAAAAACAAACAAATGTATGTTAGGACTAATGCTTTCCCACAAGAGGCTACCTCCTTGGGGAGTGTGTCTTTCACTGCCAGTATTCTTGAGTTCTAGGTGATCACTCATAGATATTTCCAGCCTAGGCATGTTTTCCCGTTTCAGACCATATGTCATTCCCTTGAGTATTATTACTTTCTCTACTAGGGATGCTTTTCAACTTT